CGTCGTCGTCGTCGTCGTGTGTGTGTGTGTGTGTGTGTGTGTGTGTGTGTGTGTCTGTCTGTCTGTCTGTATATATATATATATATTTATATATATATTATATACCCGAATATTATGCTGCTTTGCGAATACTTAAGAGTGAACAAAAATTTATTACGTAAACTCTTTTCTTCCGCTCTTTATTTCGGTAAAGAGACTACAAGGCAGTGCACTGCATTACCCTATACCGTACGTATCTACCCACTTTCGGTATTTTCTCCCCAGCTATTCAAGCTCATTAAGAAGATACTAAAGTAGAACCCCGTTGGACGTCACTGCGAGGCAACCATATCAGATGCGCACCAAAAAGCAAACCCAATCCTATCAGCTAAAGTTCAAGGGCAAGCTCACGAGACAAGATTCCGAAGGTAAGCCAATTAGATACTGTCCATTATGGTGGTCGTCCACTTGCGGGTCTTAGGATCCAGGGTGGTTCTGAACTGTTCTACGATGGGCGATTCCACCTGGTAGCAAAGGACAAGCAACCCCAATAGTTGGTGTTAGCAATAAGAATAATACTGCAAGTTGCTATTCATACAGTGAAAAAAAGTAACAGAAGCTGAACAGATATTATAGAGAAGTGGATAAAAAGCAGAAAAGTCTTCAACTTGATAGCACGCCAAGTGCAAGTACCAGCAGCTTAAAAAATGTGAGCATGAGGTAGGGAAGTTGCGAGTTAATTATGACGAAAATGGCCGATATAGTTGTTGATACTAAATTCCCGTACATATATAGCTTTCGCAGACGATGATATGGTGGTGGAAGCCGTATCGAATTCAAATAAGACGCATCAGAAATATAAGTAAATCTGTTACTATTCCTGACGTCGGCTAAGGCTAGATATAGCGGGCGAGTTGGAATGCTACTTCGAGAATACTAAGAATTTTCATGGGCACACAAATGTTTTCAATGAGAAATATAAAAGAATGTGGCGGCAAATGGTATGAGCCGTGGTAACAGATTCATGGGTTATAAATACAAAATACGACAACAGAATGTAGAATATAATTGAGTACACATACCAAATCATCCTCGGGAGTGGCCCCCGGGATACTGACATTCATCTCCGAAGATTTGGCAGAGATGATTTGGCAATCCAGGGACTTCTCACTCAAGTACACCTAAACGGTTTAACAGATCAAAATGACAGAGGGGAGGTGAGCAAAGAGTCCATATCAGATAGCACTCAACACTGTGAGATGATGTTGCAGTGCAGAGAACTCTTGCTCGCGTACAACTAAGGGATGTCACCAGTAAACATACACGGAGAAGCTTCGAGCTTCTGCTGCTACCACTACCCCAAGTATATTTCAGCAGGTGACATGCAATGTGTACAAGCCAATAACCAGGTTATTCAGAGTAATTTTACATCGGCTGCATTTTTCACACACACTCGCAATACACAAGCTCGTGAGCTTATTAAGTCGTAATGCTAATACATGCGCACAATACTGCAACTTGTGTATATGTACACAATACTAATCTAGAGCATGTGAAATCGAACAGTGCCTGCATACCTGGACACCATCGGTCTTGTCAATGCTGACAGTGGGAACGGATCCCGTGGCTTGCACCTGCACACTCTGGCAGGTAACCATCTCCACTCCAGAGACGCATTTATCAAACACAACGCCGACCTGAAGCGTGCGAGCAAGCAAATTTATAGGGAGTTGAAAGACAATGTACTGTCATTTGGAAGGAGAACATATATTTATTTACGTATTTATTGAACGGCAGTGCCTGTCAATATTGGGCGTAGTATACGTTATACTTCCCATACTTAGGATCTGACAGAATCCCTAGTAGACCGCTGTGCGTATTGTTCGCAGTGAGTGTATTTGACACAGATTAACTAGCAACTGTCGCCGCTACAACAAAGAGTTCTCGGCATTGGCACAAGTACAAGACATGCCATGGGAACATAAAGTGATGCACAGGCGTGTGCTGGATTCAGCGGATACGCTATACAAAGGTTTTGCAATGTATTTACCTTTTTGCAGCCATCCAGAGCGATGGAGTTGACCTTTCCGTTGATTTTGATTACCGAGTTGGTGCACTTGTATATATACACCACCTGTGACATGTTGGTATCGATCACAATCTCGTTGTTACCGTCTTGGTGTTCGACCAACCACTTCTTGCCATCCAGCTCGCACTTGGGGGTGCCCTTCTTCGCGCCTGGTTCATGTCATTGACAGGAAGGCCATATACTCTTAAGTATATGAAAGGGATAGCGAAGCTAATCCAATACAAATACAACAAATAAAATAGGGAATTACACATGCATGGTAATGTAGAAAGGGGCGAGAGGCACGAATAAGCCCCACAAAGAGAAACCAGCTCAATTGTATCCCTGTATACAAACATCCTCGAGAATTGACGATGTATAGTACCGGTCGCACTTAGCAGTGTCAACCTTTGAGGAGAATTCAAGTCAGATGCTCACAAAAACATGAAAACGCAATAATATTGCTGTCGACTACAGGCAGTATCAGTGCATGGTTGCACACACACTTCCATTCCCAAACGAACACTCTCGAGCTTGAAAAAAAAAATACTAAGCACACTACCTCTCATTGTACTGAACACACTTACCCGCGCCAAACTTTGAGGGCGCGGCGGGTTTCTTGGTCTCCTTTTCGGGTGCTGCCTCAACCTTGGAGGACGCGCGGAGCTCAGGATTCTTGTGGGTCATTTGAGACTTATCGACCTGAAACGTAGGGGAACGTGCAGATATGAGTGTATAAGTGTATCGACAACCAATTGGAGTCCGGTTTTGGTATTGTTTCTATAAAGCGGTGTTTGTGATATGTTCCGAGAGTCTTCTTGTGCGTGCGAACTGAACCTCGAGAAAACGATAGTTTCGGTTTTTCTAAGTGTTCCTCATGAAGTCTACGGATACTATGGGACAGGGCATGAAACTTACACAGTGCCAGTCTTCAAATAAGAGCTAAGCTATAGATGTGACTATTAATATACCTCCTTGAGACCAGAATTTGCTATTGTAATACCTTTATGATTAAATGTGGCTGATACTATACTATTCCAAGACCATATGCGACTGTTGATATACCTTTTACGAACAGATGTCACTACTAAACATTTTTGTAACCTCAGATGTTACTATAGATATACCATTTCAAGAGATGTCTATTGGTATACTTTTCACGACAAGATGTCACTATAAATAACCCTTTTTAAGCCCAGATGTTACTATTGTTATACCCTTTCAAGACCAGATGCGACTATTGATATACCTTTTACGACCAGATGTCACTATAAGTAAACATTTGTAAGCTTTGTAAGCCCAGATGATAATTGATTTACCTTTTTGAGCCCAGACGTCACTGCGCCCCCCTTGTTTATTTCAGCAAAAAGTCCGCCCAATGGAGCTGCAGTGATAAGGGAATCACAACATGCGAGTGACCAGATGAGTGAGAGTATATGTCAGGGTTTGGTGTCGAAGGCTTAGTGCTTGCAGGAGGGGGCCTGCTTAATATAATTCAATACATGTTATTATATCAAGCTTGATACATCACAATGTACATATTTCTAAGGTGTGCTCCTGTACTGCAGACTGTAGGCATAAGGGGCGCAAGAGGGACTGTCAATGAACCGCATAAAATTCACCATGCCTCGGCCAATATACAATATGTGATCAAATGAGACACACCGCAGTCGATACACTTCTTGGCCGTTTCTGCACCAGTGCTTGAAACCGAAAGCCCAGTACGGTAGAGAAGGGGCTGTCAACATAACGAACAATATTCAAAGTATCTCGTGCATACAATAAGTTATTAAGTTGATATTTAACGTCATGCATACATTTCTTAGGCGTGTCTGCTGCAGTGCTGGAGACCGAAGGCTTTGGGGGGGGAGGGGGAGGTGCCTTTGCTGCAGGTGCCGCAGGTGCAGGTCCACCGGACGGTACAGTAGCCTTGCCACCATTCTTGTTCCACGACAGCGCTGTGGTGTGGTACTTCTTGATATAGTCTACCATGGGCTGTGGGAGTTGTGAGGCACAAAGAGCGTAAATGTGTGAATACAGACATATTGATGTGAGTGAGAGTGAGTGCGCGAGTGTGTGTGTGAGACAGTGAGTGCGTGAGTGTGTGCGTGAGTGTGTGTGTGATTGGATGGGTGGGTTGTTGGGAGGGTGGGTGCTGTCATTTTAATCTCAATGTTTCTAGTTGTCGAATCGGACTATCCGCTGTTGAATCGCTGACTATCGAAGCAACCCAATCTGAAGGGGGCCTTACGCAGATATCATCCGATGCTATTAATAAAAACACGTACTCTTCCATCCACATACCGGCCAAATAGCCTTGAAGGCGCGAGCCCATTCAACGTGAGTCTTATCCTCATCCTTGAACTCCTTGATCACACGGTTTCCATAGAACTCACCGGCCTCAGACATATCTTTGCAGAAAGGTGCGGGTTTGCTGGGCACAGACACCCATCCAAGAGCGGCTGTACAGCCCAACAATGACTTAGATCAGTGAATTGATATGTGCCACACCAAACGAGCCAATTCACCGAGTATCTTTGACTTTAGATTAGCGGAAAGAAAGACGAGGAACAAACGATAGAGCTTGATCCACTATGGGACAACACTCCCAGGCCACCTCTCACTCGAAGGATGCACGAAGTAATTATTGAAAAACCGTGTATCCCTGGTCACCACTCTCTCCCTTCGTGTGAAACTGGGATGAAAATAGAACAATCACAGAATCACGGAAACAGATGAGTGCACGAGCAAGTTGTATACCGCGAATATCATACCGATTCCTTCGGCTACTGTGGCCAGATGATTGCTGAACTTAGATCGTCTGTACTTGGGGTCGTCCTTCAAGTTTGAAACATCAGTCTACATGGAAAACAAGGAAGAGTAACTATAAGCTTCAATTATGTTGTAGTAGTGAATGTTTCTCGGGTGAGATCTACCATGGGCTTTGACCTGCGAGCTTCTCCCTCTTGTAGGCCATGCACTCGTAGTGGTTGCCTGTGAAGCTCTTAGCTCCAGAAAGAACCCAACACTGACTATATTTTCAATGACTTGTTAGGTTTTATTCTGTAATGAAGTAGATGGTGGATATTACAAGCATCCTCAATTAAGATCAGTTTTATGTCGAGAAGACAGTAGGGGACACTTGTCAAAATGAAATATTGGTCCGTATTCCTGTGCCTATCAAGCAAGATGTACGCATACAATAGATGAGTATATGATAGAATGACAGCAAAGATCGCACCAGATAACCCACTATGGTAATTGTGCGAACGAACTCAATAGACACAATCCTTGACACCAATTTGAGAGTAATACCGAGATTGGTCTTCTGGGTCAAGATGGATCAAGATGGAAAACCTCACAATATTTAAAAGGACTAAATTTTCTCGCACGTTCGTGTACCCCACAAAGTGGAAGTGCAGGATTGAAGACGGCGGATAAGAGCGCAGCTTTACGGACCTTCAAATTGGCTCAACAAATTTAGACTGGAATGAACTACAGCTCGCTTCAAAAATTTGGACTATTTGCATACCATGGCCTGAGCGGTAGGACCGAGAAGCGCAGGGAAGTCGGAATCGGAGGGTTTCTGCGATTGAGATGCCATCACAAGGAAGGCTCTCTCTTTGTCGAAAGCGGCCTTGGCAAGCGCAGCTTGTTCGGCGACTTCGCCACCGATTTTGTTAGAGAGTTCGATGTACGCGTGTACCTAATGGGATTAAGGAGGGGAAGTACATGTGAACAGACTAGTTGAGATGGACTAAGCGCGCTAAATCTACGCTGAGAGGATTCTTCCATCAGTGAGTGAGTACAATGACAGGGTGTCTATCAGATACTTTTCCATATGTAGTCGTTCTCATTGGGTTCAAGAACAGCGCTGTTTTTGAGTATATACGAAAATGAGTATAGTAGATGCATCGCGCAATAATACACGCTGAATGCACAGATTATGAATGAAAATCAATTATATATGCAACTATATGAA